CACAGTCACACACATACATGAAATGAAAGCAGGAGAGGGAAGACATTTAAGGGAGGGAAGGTTCACTTTGGCTCAGCTTGAAGGTCCGGTCTGTCATGGCGGGGGAGGCGTGGCGGCAGGGAGCTTGGGGCAGCATTGGCTCCACCGCCGCCGGGAAGCAGAGATGAATGTTTATGCTCAGTTCACTTCCTCCTTCTTATTCAGTCCAGGACCCCAGCCCAGGGAATTCTACTGACCACATTTGGGGTGGGCCTTTTCATCTCAACCTAGTAACATCCTCACAGACATGCACAGGGGTTTGTTTCCATGGTGATTCTAAGTACCAACAGGTTACCAGTGGAAATTAACCATCACAAGAGACCAAGTATGTATTTCAGAACCACAGTCACCAAATGGAGGAGCCAAAAATCGCAGTACGGACAACAGATCGGCACAGCAAAGTGAAGGTCGGAGGTGTGGAGGTAGGAAGTTCTTTTCACGGCGGTTTAGTTAGTGTGACTCAGAGGTTGAGAACGGTGTGAATGAGTCTACTCTCCGCAGCAGCTGGCAAGCCTTGATGTCATCCGCTGTCATCCCATTTGTCCCAAGAGTTCCCAACTTGACAGCTCGCCAGCCAGTTGGGTTGTTCTGTCCTGTTCTGAATCATCCCCTGGGGGCCTTTCCAGGGATCCCGTGCTGTAGAAAGGGCACCCCAGCAAGACTGTTCCCATCCCCAAGAGTCACAGTGACTTAGCCCTGGTAGTATGCAAACCACTAGCGCCCCCTCCAGGTGGGATGGGGCATAATCTACAACTGCCCTGTGAGGGGTGGCACTTGTCATGAAGGGTTCTTGCTGCGGCCCCCAAGAGTCCCTGTTCTACAATGCACTTAACACCAGCCTAATGAGCTGCTCGCTGGAAATTGTCAAGAGCTCTCACTGACATCCTGAGATACTGCTTACTGGTTTATTGGAGCAGAGTGCTGTCTGCATGGGAGAAAGAGGAGTCTTCGAACAGCAAGACTGGCGAGGCATTCTCTACCCTGAGAGAACGGGAGACTTGGGAGCGCAGCAGGAAGGCAGTCGTCAGAGCAGTTAAAGCACAAGGTTAATGTGAGCTGCAGAAGATGGTGTAGCCAGCAGAAAGCACGCTCCGGCATACGTGAGGTTCTCAGGCCCTTCACAGGACTCCTGTGGTCATGGAGAGAGGTTCAGTGACCTCCATGTTCAGGCGTTTGAGAACACCCACCCTCATCCTGTTCTCCCTGAGGGATATCCCAAAGTCAACCGAGTTTCCTTAGGAGAGCTCCCCATCAGGAAGTGTAAGAAGCAGCACCATTGGCAGTTCCTAGTCTCCTTCAAATTGCCTTTGTCCTCCTCCTCTTCCTCTTTCTCCTCTTCCTCCTTTCTCTTTGTCCTCCTCCTCTTCCTCCGCCTCCTCCTTCTCCACACAGTTGAGTTAGCAGCTATCAGTTCTTCCTGCAAGGCTATTTCTCAAGCTCGGCACTGTAGTTTTGCCCAGCCGCAGCACATGAAAACTTAGCACAGATGCTTCTGCCTAAATCTTTTTGTTCCAAAACAAAGCCAAAAAAAAAAAAAAAAAAAAAGGTCTCTCCTTCACTATAAGTCACAGGCTGGGAATGAGGGTGATCTGGACAGTGGCCAAGGCAGCAGGAGGGGGACCCTGGCTCTTCCCACCTTCCTAAACAGCCTTGTTCCCCTCAAGCTAGAGGCTTTGAATACTGAGGCAGAGCCATGCCTCAGCTATTTCCAAATACTTCCACCCCATTCATCTCCCTCGCACTCAAAAATAAACACCAATAAAACTCGTCTGTGTGCCAAGCAACCTCGGCAGCCTCCTTGTGGCATCCTCTGATTTGAATAGGAGAAAAGTAACCCCTAAGCTGTCAAGCGGCTCCGTCTGGGTGGAGCCACAGAGAACCCCATCACGTGACACCTAGCGCGGTTCTGCCCCGCCACGGTATCCATGACTGCTGACCTTGGAGGCAGTCTGCTGGATATATATGGAGGTGACAGATGCCAGATGAGGGAGCAAAGAGGAGCTGATGCTAAAGATTGAAGTAGCAGAGGCATCCTGATGCCTTTGCCCGTCCATACATAGTGCTTCTGCGGAGTCTACGCTAATGGTTGTACTAGTCCATAAACGGAACTCAGCCCTTTTCTTTTTCCTTTGTCTTTGTCTTTTTTGTTTACTTATTTTATGCATATGAATGTTTGGCCTGCAAGTATGTCTGTGTACCTTGTGTGTGCCTGGTGCCCAAGGAAGTCAGAAGAGGGCTTCAGATCCCCTGGGACTAGCGTTTGGGATGCTTGAGAAGCACCACGTGGGTGCTGAGAATCAAACCTGGGTTGTCTACAAGAGCCGTGAGTGCCCTTCACCGCCGAGCATCTCCGGCCCCTTTTCCTTCCTGCCCGTTTTCCTTCACTTTGGGGCTGATCTGTAGGCAGTCACATAATTTGTAGCCATAGGTAAGCCGGACGCGAGGATAAATGAGAGGGAAGATGACGGAAATCGCCTACTTCTTCCTGGTTGTCTCTCATGGAAAACCAATTCCGCATGACTGCTAGTATTTCAGAGTAAATGTCAGGGAGGGAAAATGACAAGAGAAGAGAGCTTCTCTACTAAGGCCAAAAAAATGAAAATAAATAAAAGCTGTGCGTTGGCGTGTTGGTCTGGTGAGATGGAGTTCCCTGCTTCTCCAGGGGTACAGCTGAAATTAGTGTACAGCTCAAACTGTCTTTTGGGGCAGCTCAGTTAGCCTTGAACTCATGTTTCTCCTGCCTCAGCTCCTGAGTGCTGGGATTAGGTGCCCTCATGCTCTGCTCAGTACCAGGTCTTTCCTTTAGTCCATGCCTTTTAACATGTAGCAGCAGTACCAAAGAACAGACCCCGAAGGTCAGGCGCTGGTGGTGCACACCTTTAGTCCCAGCACTCGGGAGGCAGGGCCAGGCGGATCTCTGTGAGTTCGAGGCCAGCCTGGGCTACAGAGTGAGATCCAGGAAAGGCGCAAAGCTACACAGAGAAACAAACCCTGTCTTGAAAAAAAAAAACAACAAACAAATAAAAAATCAATCCTCCTTCCTTTCTTTCTTTCTTTCTTTCTTTTTTTTTTTTTTTTTTTATTCTTCATTAATGGACAGTGAGACTTAAACCCAGGCCTGGTACATGCTGCCCAAGCACTCCATCTCTGGGCGCACACACACAGCCCATTTGGACAGTTTGAGACTGCCTCAGTGCCCCGACCTGGCCTTGAACTTTGGTTTGGGTTTTGGCACGGGCTCTCACGGTGTAGCCCTGCTGCCCTCAAAGGCTTTGAATCCCCTTCCTCACCAGCTGAAAGCACGGGTGTGCACCCCCACAGCTGACCTCGTTCTCTCAAGTATGACCCAGATACAGTTGCAGAGTTTTGAGTGGTTGAGCCGCCGTCTGGAGAAAGGTAAAAATGGAGACATCTGTGCAGCCCTGACCTGCTATCTCTCTCCTCTCAGTGACCATGCAGCAGGTGGCCAGGACGGTGGCGAAGGTGGAACTCTCAGACCACGTGTGTGACGTGGTGTTTGCACTCTTTGACTGCGACGGTGAGTGGGGTCCCGCGGGGGGGGGGGGGGGGAGTGTTAGAGGGTAGACCGGACCTCGCTGTATTCCTAGACCCTGAATAGCGGGGCTGTTGTGTGTGTAGCAACTTGGCCCTTGGCACTGTGAGCTTGAAAGATGCCACCCTGGGCCCCGTTCGTGTCTTCCACTTCTCTGGGTTTTGGTTTGGTTTTTGTTGTTGTTGTTGTTGTTGTTTTGTTGAGACGGGGTGTCACTCTGTGGTCCTGGCTGGCCTGGGACTCGCCAAATAGACCAGGCTGGTCTCAAACTCAGTGATCCACCTGCCTCTGCCTCCCTCCCAAGTGCTGGCGTTAAAGGAGTGTACCACCACACCCAATACGTTTTCCATTTCCTCTAATCCCATCTTGCCTGTGGGCTTAAATTAGTGACCACGTGACTGTCCAAATGCCAACAGGAGCCACATTTGTAAGAGGGCTTGAAGCTGTGTTTTCCCAAATTGCAAGCCTGATGATCCCCAAAGAAATGTAATTTTCCCTGGAAAATAAACAAAAATATTAGACACACACATTACACAATTTGCTGCTAGTAGATGGGGGACACACATGTTTCGATGTCTCCAGAAACAAAATGGCGTGGCTCTGTCCTTACAGAACATAGTTGATGCCAGGACTTGTGTTAAAAAGAGAGAGAGGGGCTGGAGAGATGGCACAGTGGTTAAGAGCACCGACTGCTCTTCCAGAGGACCCAGGTTCAATTCCCAGCAACCACATGGTGGTTCACAACCATCTGTAATAAGATCTGGTGCCCTCTTCTGGCCTGCAGGGATACATGCAGGCAGAACACTGTATTCATAATAAATAAATAAATAAATAAATAAATAAATAAATAAATAAATAAATAAATAAATAAATAAATAAATCTTTAAGAAGAAAAGAGAGAGAAGAAGGGGCTGGGCTCAAGCAGGGAAGTATGCTTGCTGCTCTCGCCGAGGGCCAGGGTTCAGTTCCCAGCACCCACAGAGCAGCTCACAGTCATCACCCCAGTTCCAGGAGATCCATCACCTGACCACCTCGGGCACCTGGCATGCACGTGGTGCGCATCCATGCAGGCAGACACTCATGCACATAGAATTAAAAATTAAAGGCAGGCAGACACTCATGCACATAGAATTAAAAATTAAAGGAAAGGGCCAGGCGGTGGTAGCACATGCCTTTAATCCCAGCACTTGGGAGGCAGAGCCAGGCAGATCTTTGTGAGTTCGAGGCCAGCCTGGGCTACAGAGTGAGGTCCAGTAAAGGCACAAAGCTACACAGAGAAACCCTGTCTCGAAAAACAAAAAACAAAAAAATTAAAGGACAGGATAGAGTCTGATCCAGCTTGGGGAGGCTGTATCAACCCAGATCAGTAAAGGTCCCAGGGCCAAGGCTAAGGAAGAGTAGGATGGACAGATAAAGGGCAGTGGGGACACCTTCCAGATGTCCACAGCCCAAAGGGTCCTAATACCTTGCTGCTTGAAGTTCTCCGAACCACCCTGCGCCACAGCACCCTCAGTTTGCCCCGTGCTAACAGTTACCTCACCACTGATGTCACGTGTGTGTCTCTCCCGCAACCCGGGAGTGGTCCAAGGACCAACACACAAAGCTTAGCTGTTCTCACGCAGGGACCGGACTTCTGCTCTGGTCTCAGTGGGCTGCGGTTGGGAACATCAAGGGAGGACAGAGCAGTTCACCCTGAGTCAAGAGAGTTGAACTTGGCAGAGTGTGTGCCAGCCACAGAGCCTGCAGGGTGTGAGGGGTGGCGTTTTCTCCCGGAGTTTCTACTTACACCTCTGTTTTTCCTCACCCTCCAGGCAATGGGGAGCTGAGCAATAAGGAGTTTGTTTCCATCATGAAGCAGCGGCTGATGAGAGGTCTGGAGAAGCCCAAGGACATGGGCTTCACCCGTCTCATGCAGGCTATGTGGAAATGTGCACAAGAAACCGCATGGGACTTTGCTCTGCCCAAATAGCATCCCACTTCCTACACCCTAGCACCCTGGACCCCCTGGAGTGGCCCTTCATGCTGCTGCTGCTGTTGCTTCTGGGAGTAGTGCCCCCTCCCATCTTTCTGGGAGTAGTGCCCCCTCCCATCTTTCTGGGAGTAGTGCTCCCTCCCATCTTTCTGGGAGTAGTGCCCCCTCCCATCTTTCTGGGAGTAGTGCCCCCTCCCATCTTCCTGGGAGTAGTGCCCCCTCCCATCTTTCTGGGAGTGACCTCTGGGCTCCACGGGCTTTCCTCTCCGCCCTTCCCGGGACCAGTCCGTGTTCTGCTAGGCTCCAAGTCTGCAGTCAGATCAAAGGTTCTAAAAAAAAAACATGGCCAAGTCTTAAAAGTGGAGACCTTTGCTCCTTTAACAAGTGCCCTGTGGATAAGGAATGCAGGGAGCCCTCCCAACACCTGGCAGCCTGAGAAGCATCCCTGGGCCCCCCCTCCAGGCTCCATTGCTGTGGATTTATATTAAGAACATCCCCTGCTCTCCCTCCTCCTCCTGCAGTTTTTCTAAGCTGCAAGTTTGGAAATACTCTGGCAGGCAAGAGGAAGTCTGTGATGAATGATAATGAAGGCGACCCGGGCACCCTGAGCTGGCAGGAGGCCTGGTCAGAGGATCCGTGGCAGACACAGGCAGCTCCGGGAAGCCTCATGCTCCCAGCAGAATTCCAGATTCAAAGGGGCTGCCTCATGGTCCTCTCCGCTCCCTCGTGTTCCTCCCAGGCTCCCCGTGACGCCTCCTCTGGGACTCTGCTTCCCCAGCAGCAATGGCCGAGTACCTGTTAGTGTCTCCTCCCCTCTCTGTGGGCCTGCGGAGCCCAGACCCCGCTCAGAGCTCATCTGCCCCCTGTCCAAAACACTCGTAAAATATCACTTTAATTATAACAGTTTGCAGTAAATATCCCGAAAGCACTGTGTCCTCTCTTTTCGACCTTTCCTCTGGGCCCTTCGTTTTGTCCCCACCAAAGGCCACGGCTTCCTCATCACAAGCAGCTTGAGACAGGACAAAAAGTGAGGGTGCTCCGACATTAAGGTGGTGTTGTCCCAGCCAGGTTGGAGCAATGTTTCGTTTGGGGCTGGAGTACACAGTCCCAGACTATCTGAGCATCCTGCATGGTGGACCTGCATTCTCACATCCAAAGCAGCATTGTCCTCTGGTAGACTCAGCTCTACCACTCACTCGGGGTGGTGTCGAACTGGTCACCCCTTCTGTTCTCTCAGCTGCTGAATGACACAGGCTGAACTGAGTGGGCCCCGAAGTTGCTTCCCATGAGCCTCTGTTTCAGCTCTCCAGAACCTCCAGGTCTGCCTCAGTGTGGCACTCCACCTACCTCAGAACACGACCAGGGGTTAGTGGGCAGTGACAGAGCTGGGACCTCTGTCTTCACCTGCACAGGAAAGCAGAAGCGGGCATCTCCCCCAGACCCCCCTCCCAGGAGGCCAGCTTCGCCCTCCACAGAGTCAGCGGCTCCCTGCCTCCTAGGCGCCCTGTCCACTCCATCCTGCCTGGTGTCTAAGTGCGGGCTTTGAGGTGCTGTTGCTCTAAGCCCGAGGCATCAGCGCGGTCTAAGCATTTCTTAAATTTGTCCCAGAAGCCATGCTCACCCTTTCCCGTGGTCCATTCTCCAGGAGAGGTCCATCCTCAACCTCAGCGGGGTCTTCACGTCTGCCCACAAGAAGCGCTCTTCAGGGGAGCGGCTGGGCTTCCTTAACCTGGGATTCAGTGTGATCCAAGGAGACGAGAGATCCTAGAGACAGTTGCTAAGCAGAGGGGACTTGAGAATGTGCCGAGTTTTTAAAAGTCATTTTAATTGCTTCTGGTGCCCCGCCTACTTTGAGCTACGGCTGAAGCACACTCTCTGGAAAAAGGAGAGGCGTGGACAACAGCTGCAGCCACCAGGGAAGAGGGGACCCCATGGCCCCAGGAGCTGGTGCTATGGCTCTGCACCCCTCTGCAAGCTTTGCAGAGACCAAGACCCTGGGAACCATGAGACGCCTCAGGAGAGTCAGGCAGCGGCTGAGGCCGGCTCAGCTGCGGGCTTCCAGTGCCACCTGCTGGCAGAATGGCTCAGTGCAGGCAGTCTCGTGCTTGCCAGCGGGGATTGGAAGGCACAAGGCAGGGCAGAAGGAACCATAAAGAAAGAATCCGACTGCAGTTGAGAGAGGGAAAAATACTAGTGTGTTGGTCTCTGGCTTGAGAACATGAATGGTGATGAGTAGATGTGTGTCGTTCGCGCTGTTCTGTGTCACCTTCACTGATCAGCCGCTGTGGACCAGGCGTTTCTGAGCCGTGTCTTGGAGGAGCATGCATCCTAGAGAGAAAAACAGGAAGAAGCAGCAGATTCTGAAGTCCAGAGAAGCAGGCTGGCCATCTCACACCCAATGCTCACACCAGTGCTCACACCCAACCTGTGCATTCACCGCAGGGCTGCAGAAGAAGTGCGATTTGGCTTTGTTTGTTTGTTTGTTGTTTTAAATAGACCTGTGGGTCTATTTAAATAGACCGTTTTAAACAGGCCTAGACACTCCAAAGATTGAGAAGCAGGAGGGCTGAGCAGAAACTGAGCATGCAGAGCTCCACAAACCAGGGTCCATCCTGGAAACTGAAGTCTAGGGTTCCTAGCATGGATTAGGGAATGATTTTGAATTACGGTAGGGAGCCAAGTGTGGTAGCACATGTCTGTGATCCCAGAACTGGTGGTGGGGGTGGGAGGTGGCTTGGGGCAAGAGGACCTCTTTGAGTTCAAAGCCAACCTGGCCTAGATAATGAAACTTTGTCTCCAGCAAAAGAGAAGGCATGAAGACAGTGGTCACAGAAAGTAACTTAGAAACGGTCATGATGAACATTTGAGATTGGGAGTATGGCTCAGTGGTAGCACTTAGGTCAGCATTCCTGAGGCCCGGGTTCAGCCATAAGCATACCCCAGTGCTCAGAACTGAATATAATGTTGGGTGTTCCACATACGGAGGCAGTGGGAAGCTCACTGACAACATTGATATGCGTGGTGTCCTGGATTTGGTTCCCAGCACCATGAAAAGGGACAAAACTAGAGGGAAATTAAGAAACTTCCATCCTTAGGCTGGACATGAGTTCTAGAACAGCCAGAGCTATTTAGAGAGACCACATCTCAAATAAATGAGTAAATAGAAAGTTCTGTTCTTACTTGCAGAAGACAGGCTGACAATTTGCTAAGCACCTGCCTCAACAGATTAGAAGGAGTCGGGGAGAAAAATCACAGGACTAGGGAGGTGGCTTAGTGGATACAGCGCTCGCCACACAGGCCCGACAACCTGAGTTGGAGTTTGCATCCTCAGAGCACAATAGTAGAAGAAACTCTAATTCCAGACGAGTCTCC